TCATTTCTAATTTGGACGTAATCTCTATAAATAGATCTTGTTTCTCTGGCAGCAGCAGATTCTTGCTCAACATTTATCCAGCCTACCGCTTCATTTCTGGCTATCGTTCCTTCAGCTGATGTTGCTATAACATCTTCCGCAGCACCAACTTCGGAGGCGATTTCGGAGACAGTTTCCATCATACTACCTATCCATGCTGCGGCGGCAGACGCCAAATATGATCCAGCAATAGGAATAGCAATCAAAGCAATGAAAATGGCTACAGGAATTAAAATCTCTTTGAGCAAATTTCTTTTAGGCGGTGGCGGAGACGGTGGAATCAATTCTATTAAATTTTCTGGAGTCATCTTAATACTTAGTTCATTAAGGGCATCATGGAATCTTTGATGGTGCCTCTCCCAATAATTGAATAGTTTGTTTGCCGAATCATTCATGTGATATGTTGCAACACCATAACCTGAACGAGCTGCCTGAACCGAACTGAAGAGATGCAGCATATGATCCAACTTCATGACCAGTTAAATGATCGATGATTCGGCTATATGTTCTGTAGCAATAATTTCCAATCCGGGTGAATCTGGGTTTTTACCTTCACTGCAACTTTGCAGTTAGATCAGTTGGAAAAACATGATCTGGGTTCGGTGCTATTTGCTTATATGTAATTTTAGGGGTCGGAAGAAGTTTCATCGTATAATTACTTAAATTGCATTTGTAGTTATTATGGTTTTTTTCGTTATACGACGCAACCGTAAGTTGATCCCTGTTTATATTCAACATAAAGCTGAATTTACAATCATAGGTACATCCCCACATAGTGACGTTTACAATTGTTGAGGGTGGCTCATGCCATAAAGTTTGAACATGCCTGATCATAAGAGAAGTAGAATAAGAAATGCCATCATCGTCAATATGGAACGCCGCATAATCAGAAGGTACGTCCTGGTTGCACATATTAAAATCATGTTCTACGGTGATCCAATCAGCAATAACTGCCGATGAAAATGTAAAGGAATGTATAGTAACGTTTTCTTCATGAGTGAAATGTCATTATTTTTTTTTTTATCCTTGTCGAAAAATCAAGTAGACCTTATATACTGTATTTTACCTCAGAAAAATTACTGATAGATTTCGGTATCTTTATTTCTAATTTAATTTCATTCTAAATGTTGTGTTTTATTTTCGATCATATTTTGTCCGTTCCGTTCTTAAAAAGGCTGTCGGTAGTCGATCTCGGAACTGACTTTAATTCGAAATGAGATCGACGCGTTGCTCATTATGGCCACATGTAAGAATTTGAATCGATTTCGATATTTAGAATCGATTTGTGAATTGATTTAATTCGACTCTAAGATTCGATTTTCGATTTTAATTAATCGAATATAATCGTTCGATCCATTTAGTTAGATGTTTGAAGAACAACCTAAATGAATTAAACCGAAAACAAAAATAAAATTATTAGATTAAATAAATATGGGATTATACTGTATATATGCAAATTAAAAAAAAATAAAATAAAATAAATATTAGAACCCGCGATTATAAAAAAATATATATATATACATTTAAGAAAAAAAAAAATCGCGGGTATTTAAAAGTAAATTAAATTTAAAATTAAGATAATCGATATTAAAAAAGGTTGAAAGTGTGAAAGTGGAATTTATTACTTAAGATTTCGGACGTCTTTTTTTAAGACGGATTTTCGGGGTATATACATATACATAATTTCTAAATACTAACTTTTTCTTTTAAAATAAACATAACTAATATAATAAATACTTAATATAACGAATATGACGAATATAATAAAAAATAACGAAATGAATTTTATATAATAAAACTGTAACTAAAAAACTAATTCAACTTCCACTCCATATGGTTAGACACTTTTTAATAATTGTAATGCGCCATGTGCTGAGCATTATAAATGTCATTTTACGTCCAAATTCGATCTTTAATTGATTTTCGTCTGAAGTTGGAATTCATACGATCTTAACTGAAATACTGAAATAGGAATTCTAATTTCGGACACAGAAAATTTGGCAATCGAATGTTACACTAGATTTTTACCAATAAATTTGGGAACGCGGCCTACCATTTCGGACGAGTGATCTTATGACCCAAAATAGGGATGATTTTTTAAAAACATGCATGAGGGAACGGATTATGAATGAAGTTGAGAAGACCCTATGTACGGTTGTCATAAATCTAAAAGGATAGCTAAGCCAGTTACTAGTGAAAGGCTTCCTTATACCTGTGCAAACAATCCATACACGGAAGCCAAAGTTTAATTTTTTTTTTAACAGATCAACCGAAATTTATTGATTTCAACCGAGTCCCATTAGAACAAGCTGTTTTGATAACCGCCCTACGCCTTTTTATGCTAAAAGATGAATTGATAAATTACAAATGTTATTTTTGAAAATTTTGATCTCAATTTTGTTAATGGCGATATATTGATGTTTACACAACCTTCATCTTATTGGATTTCAGCTCCTATTTATGAGCGTCGAATTAGATAATTTTTCTACTCCAGATATTACTAAACTTGTGAACCTATTGCAAATAAACAACAATTAGGAGTTTGTACTTTCAATTTTTTAAAATAAAGTATAAGTCTACTCTACAAGCTAAAAACCTTCTGCGCCACACTAAACTATTAAAATTTTGACGATCCCTTAAAGAAGTTCCGCAAAATAATATTTTTTTTTTTTTAAAAAAAAAAAAAAAAAATGAAAAGAATAAATATATAATGAAATAATAAAAATGAAATTAAAAAAAAATACACTAATACGAATAAATGATATTTTACTTCGAACCTTTGACTAAAATTTCGAAAAAATTATTGTTGTCTGAAATTGTAATCATCTAATTAAAAAATTATTTGTATGATTTGTAGTCACTTGTCAATAACAGAAATTCATCAAATAAAATTCAAATCAAGATCATAAGCCAAATAAGAGAATATAATTAGGTTTAAAACTAATACTTAAAATCAGACCCCCTTTTTTGTAAACGGATTTCAAACCGTATCGTTTTCACTTCCTTTTTTATTGCATGTCAATTATCAAGTCGGGTTAAATATCTAATCATTTATAAGAATTGCATGATGGTTCATTGAGATAATTGGTCAAAAGAGCTGATGTTACCACGAGTAGAAAATTAAAATTATTCTGCCCATTTTATATGTTTAGGAATTATATTTTGAGAAGTAATTTAAATATCAAGGGTTTTAATGGGTTCTGCTACCGTTGAAACATTTGCCATCCGTCTAAACTTTTGTCACCTATCGAAACTATGCGGTTTTAAAATAAATTTCTTTTAGATATTTTATTTGTGATATTTTAATACCTGCTGACATTTTGCCTTGGAGGTATTAAACTATGTTCACGCTTTGGAGAAATTGCAAATGCTATAGTGAGTGTTTGTGATATCAGGCTAAGTTAATTGATGAAAGAAATTCTGATAAATGTACTACGGAACGTAAGTGTAAATGCATAAATAAATAAATAAATTATTATGATATTATTATTTACATCGAAATTCGTAACTCCTTTTAACTATACAGCTGAAGCCGCAGAGATAGTCGCGGAGAACATGACATGATTAACTTGCGGAAGTATGTACTACTAGATGAGAAGATAAACACACATTATTTATTTATTTTCCATAATTAACTGATGGTGATTTTTTTTTTTCTTTTTAGCAAATTTCATGGTTGTCGATTTTGACAACTCGAAAATTGCTAGACGGAAATCGTTAGGGAAGTTACAGAGAGAATAAGTGATTTTTATGGAAGTTATTTTTTCGACAGAGAATTTAAAGTAAAGAACTAGGAAATGAAGCTATAAATTTATTAAGAGATATTTACTATGGACAAATGCAATTTTTGGTTCAATCATTTTATCAACACGCCAAATTACCATTTACAGGAGATGATCTTATGAAATTAATCTTGAAGTTTCTCCAGTTTTATTACAATATGTAAGCGGTTATAGGAGACTAAGAATAGTTAATTACAACATAATCAAATAATGTTTGACCCGGTCGTTGAAAGAATTTTACGTATGATGCGTACTTAAATTGAAAATACTTCTAGAGTTGATAAAACTCCTGAAAAAAAGAATAATATAATTTTTTTTGGTTGAAGGAATTAGTCAATCAGCGATTTGCAAAAGAAAATTAAAGAATTTTCAGGTCATGCCCCTAACAATCCGATCGCAACAATTTCTCGTGGCGCAGCAATCTAGATAAAGGTTTTAGCGAAGTAGATATATTAGATACTGGTCATTCTCTATTATTAATTAAGATATATTTATGGGATCAAAGTTTGGAAGTCCGACGAAGGATTTCTTTTTAAAAGTTTAGCATTTAATGTTAGGGTTTGACCCCAGTCATCCGTTTCAAAGAACTGGGATATTTGAAATTTATTACACACGAGAAAACCTGTGAAGAACTGGAATGAAATTACTTGGAAAACTTAAAACTGATTGGTCAGTAAACATGTGATGGACAGACCCACCATTAAATTGGCATTCGGTAAAATGGAACTCAAGGCGACAGCACAAAAATGAAGTTAATAAACTTCCTTTGATTTACAAGACGACGAATGAAATTTTTTTTTTTTACATTATTTTTTTTTGTTACAATATTTACTGGATTCTTTTTTTTGACATTATTTTTCTGTTGAAATATTTAATAGGATTCTTATTTTTTTTTTAAAAAAAAATTTTTATTTAAAAGAAATTTGATAAACTTTTTATTCGTTATATATATTGGCGGTAATCAATAGAAAGGGGGAAACCTAAATTTGATAAAAAATTGTTTATTAGTCCACTTGACTGATCACAGTCATGTGCTCAAATTAGTTTAGGAACTAAAATTTAATGAAAATTTCTTATACTATGCTATTTCGCATTTTATAAAGAAAACGGTAATAATATCGTGAATTCTAAAGTTTGAAATTATTTAATACTAAATTCATGCTGGACTCATTTGAACTAATGGCAGCTCGTGAAAATATTTTGCAGTTTTATGTATGAAGACGTCAAATCTCGCCCAATGAGAGGAAAATAACAAATACCTACACTTAACTGATTGATATCCGCCGTTCATTATATTTGGATCAATATTAGTATTCTTTGCAAACAAAAAGAGATTCCGCAAACATGTATACGAAAACAAAATAATTCGTAAATATCTTGAATAAGCATGGAGCCATGGCTTCAATTTTATTTTTTCTATCATCATCATTGATTTTTCGATACTGATTCATCATTTTATTAGTTCATGGATAGCATAATTTATGAGACATGCGTAAAAATTTTAGAAGTTCCATCATCATCAAGACCAAACCAATAATATCATTGAATCCTCGATTACCATGTATTCCATAAATTTTTTGACGTATTTTCACCGCTACCGCGTCAGCACCAACGCGAGGTTTTCGATTAATTCTAACAATTCTTCAATCGATACAGCATTTGATATTTATTCAAAACAGGATAAAGGAAGCGTTAAAGAAAATTGATTTCATTGAGGGTTATTTCCGTTCCGGATTTCTTCTGCATAGAATTTCCTTACAGATTTATTTATTGCAGCATAAATTAAGAAATAAGTATAGACGCTAACATCTGATAGATTTCTATTTAACTAATAAATCCTCAACGAAAATTATTTTTAAAGAGAGTTCTTTAATTATTTCTTTTTATTAAATGGAAGTCGATCTTTGTTTTGTTATGGATTGTAACAGTTATATGTCACATTGATTGATACTATTAAGAACTGTATCCTTAAGGTATCAAAATACATGGAAGATATGATACTGAGTATTGTCGGTTTCTGTGGCTATCGACGTTGATGACCGTCTGTTGATTTTTCCCCTTCACTGACTCATGCATGGATTAGAAAGAGACTTATCCATAGAGGTTTTGAATCGTCATAAAAATCTTCAACCGGTTAATAACCGGTTAAAATATTCGTTAACCGGTCAAATGACCTGTTAAAGTTAACTAAGGCCAGTACTATTAATGTGGTCGAAGTTAGACAATATTTTCGCAATCATAAAATCTTAATTCTGACGGAAATTGAATTTCTGCCGTAGTTAATTTTATCTATTTAACCGGTTTAGACCTGGAATTGTACCGAAACCAAGCTAACAGACTTAATATCTCAATAATCTCGAAGACCTTTCCTAAGAGAAATAAGCGATTAACAAACAAAACAATTTATTATTACGATACACTTGTGTAGTTAGTTATCACGATCAAATCCTGATATGAAGACAAGAAAAGGTTGAAAGTGTAAATAGTAACTTTATTAATCTGTAGAGTTAAGTCTAGTAGTCCCAAGACTTATTCAGAATACTATCTGATCGAAATCTGCCGACTAAAGGTCTATTTATACAAAATTGCTAACTATTATTATATTACGCCTTTCGATAATAATAAATAATGCATATGAAAACTAAATGATATAATACTAATAATATAAGTTACGAAATTTAAATTATTCGAATACACGTAATTCAAACGTAACATGATTAAGTTATACATGTCACTTTTATGATGAGGCGCAGTACAATTTGCGACTGACACCGGTTAAAAAAATCTTTAACCAGTTCCAACCTCTACTAATCCACTGTTTCAGCCAGATATCCCTGAAGACGTACTAGGAGGTCTTAATGCAGCCGTAACCCAAATGACGTGGCGAAATGAAAATCTTTTCCACGTCCATTATTTGGTCGTCGTTTCACGAGAGAATGCAATCGGTACTACTTTTTTGGTAAGATCAATGTCCTTGAAAAGATGGTTAATTGGAGATTTTTCAGTGTTTGATCTCGTGATCTTAGAAGGAAACCCGGAAGCACTGGTCTCCAAATTTTCTGAAGCTACCTGTTCAACGATCAACACTGTTGTTTCATTAAGGGAGTAGTTATTTAGAGAATTAAATAGTTTTAATGATATATACTGGTAAATTTAGTTGTATTTTATTTTATCTTTATTTTTAATTTTATTATTATTTATAAGAAAAATTGTCAAACATTTTTATGCCTTTTTTCGATTTTTAAAACAAAAAGATCTGCTGTACCATTAATGACTCAATTTGGATGGACTTAGATATGCAAATGAATCAATCCTTTTTGGAAACAAAGATTTTTCGATAAACAAAAAATTACAAAGTTACTAAAAATGTTTTTTTGTCGCACAGCATCTGATATATGAGATAAATGATTCAATTCTTGTATTTAGTTGGTTTATATAAAAATATTTTTAATTAAAGGATTTTCTTCTACCGTATATATAAACACATATGTACAATAACAACTCTATGTGATCGTTTTTTTTTAAAAAAAAAGATATTTCATAAATTTAAATCTCAAAATTCTCGTAAATTAATTGTCCTTTGGTTAATTATTACTATTCTGATACGTTATTTGTAGACCTATATAAATGATAAAAAATTAATATACATAATCTCATGGAAGTTGACATTTGCTATGTTATGGACTGCACTAGTTCTATGGGGAGTCATATTAACGCTGTTAAAGCCTGTATACTAAAGGTGGAAAACCACATGGAAAAGATGAAGCCAAGTGTTAAAATTCGATTCGGTTTCTGTGGCTATCGCGACTACTGTGATGGTGCTAATCGCCTGCAGATTTTTCCCTTCACTGAATCGTATGTGCAATTGGAAAGGGACTTATCCAATTGTTTAGCCACGGGCGGTGGAGACTCTCCGAAAGACGTCCTAGGCGGACTCAATGTAGCCGTAAATCAAATGTCCTGGCGCAATGAAATCCGCATAATTTTTCATATCGGAGGCTATCCACCACACGGCCGTCGTTACAAATTTAATGATGATGACTATCCTAATGGCGACCCGAACGGTCTAACTGCAGAAAGTGTGTTAGGGGAGATGAAATCCAAAAACATCTTCTACTTTTTCGGGAAAATCACAAATTTTACTAATGAGATGGTTAATATATTCCGCAGCATAATTGGAGAATTTCCAGTGTATGATCTTAACACTGTAGATACGGGGACGTTAGTCAACTTATTTTTTGAGGCACATTGTTCGGACATGAAAACTGCTGTCTCACTTATAGAATAGTGTTATCATCAACTCAATATCGAATTGAAATTTTTTTTTTCCTTTTTCATTAAATGAATTAGAATTCGAAATATTTCGAATATTTGATTTTTAATTCGAATGATTGTAGGAGTCTTTTTTTATTTGAATAAATTAAAAATATTTTTTTTTTTTTTAGCAAATCTAAAGGATGTGATCAAATGTATCAAAATAAAATCGATCATTGATTGACTGAAGAATTCGATGACTTTCATAAAATTTTAAACTTCTTTACAATTAATTGACTCTGCCATCTGAATTCCTTTGGGATCTATTACATCAATTACATTTTAAATTTACTAAAATTAATTGTGGTATAAAATTTAATAAAGAAGAAGTGTATCAATTTCTATAAATGCACACTGTTTCTATAAACTACCGGAAATGTTTAATTCACGTGATTTTGGCCGGCATTATGTAGCTTGACCGAAATTAATCAGTAACAAACATAAATTTTTATATTATTTTCATTTATATAGTATTTAGAAATATAAATTAAAAACTCTTTCCCATCGATCACTTTTCGAAAAAAGTCTAAGAAAATAAAAACGTCCACCTTCAACGTCCTATATATCTTTTGACTCCGTTAGTTAGTCTTATAGTTCTACAACAACTCAAATACACTTTTACAATCAGGAAAGAGTTTATTTTAGAAGTTACTTTTATTCACCATGGTCAGAAAAAACCAAAACAAACAAACGGCAATGAAAAATAAGCATCGTTTCAATCCAACAGAACACCAACAAACTCCCAAGAAACCAGTTGCTTCAATCTCTGGCTCTGGAGAACAAATAGACCTGTCCTCAGCTTCAGACGCTGCACTTATCGAAAACTTTTTCAAACTACTGACTTCCATTCCCTCCAACGTCTTGGATAAGGACAAATACCTTTCTATAGAAGATGATCCCAATATGGAAATGGATCAAAACAAAGATTTCACAGTTATTACTCGTTCAACCCCATTTGCTTGTGCAGAAACCATTCCCAAAAGCCCCAAGGACCTCCTCACAGCTACTATTTCGAAGATTGTTAATACTTACTTCGCTCTTGATGATGCGTTCAGGAGGATTAACATCCGCTACGTTAACCTTGTTCGGTCGATCATGATCTACTTCAATGATCAGCAATCTATGGAATCAGCCCTCAATGTGAAATTTCCCGATTTGGATATCAACCAGCTGGTTCAATATGTGACTTACAAAGAAAATATGCAATTCCCTCAACGCACACTTCGTATCACCGATATTCATCTTAACCTCAAAAGGAACAGCTCACCAACATATTTGCTGAATACGGCAAGATAGTTACTGTATAAATGTTCACCAGAGATCTATGGCAACAAGCTTACATCACTTATGAAGATCATAAGAGTATTGATCTCTTTCATACTCAATGGTCACATTTAATTTACAATGACTGCGTCCGGGTATACCCGGCTTGCCTCATCCCAGAACAAGTTAAACAACGAAATTTTTTTAGAATGAGACTTACCAATTTACCCTTCATCACCTCCGCTAGGGATCTGCAAGACATCACCTTAGCTACTAAAGCTAAAGCCCTCTACATCCCTCGCTTCAACAATTATAAACCTTGATCCTTCGCAGTCTTTTACTTTGAAACAGAGGCAGACTTCAACAATGCTGTTAAACAATCTTTCACATTTGGTGACAATGAACTCCAATGGTATTCAGCTATTGTGAGATGTTACCATAAATGTAGTTCTCCAGAACACATTGTCATGAAATGCCCCCAAATTGTCCCATCAGTAAATAACGATCTTGTTGATCAGCCTAAAACTCCAATTTACAAGCTTTCCTCCATTCAAAAACTATACAATCGCTTCAAGCCAGTAGGATCTAGATTCTTGATCATAAGACACAATGATCGCTAATCCAACCACAATCAATCACCCTTTCTAAAGAGAAAAATAAACCTGCTACAGATAAAGGCAAAGCTAAAGACAAACGCTTCACAGGTTCTTCGATTGATAATTCAATTCGTAATCCCAATAATAATAACAACACGACTAACAACAAGCTAGACAGAATCCTCAGCATGCTCACGGGCATGCAAAAAGCTATGTCTGATCTTGAAACTCGCATAGTTAAGCTAGAAAAGGCCCAATCAACCATTTATGCCTTACCTTCCTCTTCACTATCAAGCGTTCCGAATAACAGGCCAATTGCGCATCAATCTACGTCTACCTTTACCCCAAAAAAGAGTTCGTATTACCAATTCCTCTTTAGATGAAGACCTTAATAAATCACCTGTTCCTATTGACTTTAAAACACAAGCAATCATTAAAGAATAAGCCTCTGTCATCGCTGAACAACAGAAGCAATTACAAATCATTAATGCCCAAATGCTTGAATTCATGACCCAGGTGCAAAAACCATCTGGTTCCTCCTCACAATAATTTCACCTATTACCTAACTCATAACCATGATTAATAATAATACAAATATTGAAAAAAATTACAAACATAACAATAAACATATAAAGCATCTTACCAACAATCAAATTATTTCAAAAGGCACACCTACTATATCTTTTGCTACTCACAATGTAAATTCACTTCAGTGTTCAATTAAAAATCAATTTATTAACGATACATTCACAAATCTTAATACGGACTTCATAGGTCTCACTGAAACTCGACATAAGTCTGACCAATCCTTTCGTTATAAAAATGACCCTGATTACACTTCTTTTTGGAGCATCCGCCTTAACTCATATGCCAGAGTTGGCATCCTTGTTAAAAAATCCTGGGTTGTTTACATTCAAAAGGCTTATCTAGATAATGATCGATTTATCTACATAGACTTGTATTTATCTGGACATACCAAACTTCGCATCTTCTGTGTCTATATTCATGCTTCAACTGAATCTGATATTAAGATTAAACGACTCAACCTACACAAATTAATCATCAAACATGTTTATGATAGCATCAGAGCAGATTTCAGGACTGTCATCCTAGAGGACTTCAACGCAAATCTTGATACCTACTGATCACAAGTTAACAATGGTAAAGCATTACACTGGCAAATGGACTTTTACAAACGGCTCTTCACATTAAACTTCCTAGACCTTTATGACATTTGTCATGATACATTCCAACCCACATACTACTCAGGCTCACGAAGTTCAAGAATTGACACCATTTTTATCTCACCCAACTTCACTATAGAATTCCTTTATTCATACTTAGATCAGCCAGTCCTTTATTCGTCCGACCATAAGGTCATTTTCGCGACATTCACTGATTGTTGTAGGCAATCAAGTGCTTAAGGTCGTACCTTACAAAATAAACGATAAGTCCCCAATTTAAGAGCTATGAACCTGTCCAAATGGAATGAATTTGCTGCGCACACTGACTTTCATTATAGATATTACAACCTGGATTGTCTCTCAAACGTCCCCACTAACAGATGCAATATGAACACTTATAGATAGACATTAAAGCTGCCATCCTAGCCGCCAACAGATGCGTCATACCTCAAGTGTGGATTTTCTCACAACAAAGAGATAAACGACCTTTTGAACAGCCCCCTCTTTCATTGCAACCAGGAAAGTTAGATCATTCCTGCTCCATTTTAAAGATTTACTTTTATGAACAAACCATTGGTCTGAACTCCTGAATGGTTTCGTATCAAGGATAATATAGAAAAGCTGATCGCAAAATTGAAACTTCCTACGTATTCCTTTCCTCCCTCCCTGCGAACTGATAATATCAATAATGTTAAATCAAAAATTAAGGATCTCTACAAATCTTTAACAGCACTAGCTAAAATCGATATACA